GGGGGCCCGCGGGGGGCCGCCGGCTCTGCTGGGCTCGGGGGCGGTTGCCGTGTTTCTGGCCGCGGGGCTTGCGGGTCTTTGCCCGCGCAGCGTTAACGGGCACTCGGTTGTGTGCAGCCAACGGGCAGCTCTCCAGCGTCCTGATGCAGGCCTACCTGCCCGTGGTGGACTACCAGATCTGCTCCAGCCCCTCCTACTGGGGCTCCACCGTCAAGAGCACCATGATCTGCGCCGGCGGTGACGGCATCCGCTCTGGCTGCCAGGTACAGCCGCACTTCCCGCTTTCCCCTCGCATCCCCCGGCACCCCCATCTCACCCGGGTTCCTCGCTCCCGCAGGGCGATTCGGGCGGTCCCCTCCACTGCGCAGTGAATGGGCAGTACCAGGTCCATGGTGTCACCAGCTTCGTCTCCAGTCAGGGCTGCAACGTCAGGAACAAACCCACCGTCTTCACCCGCGTATCCAACTACATCACCTGGATGTATAACGTAAGGCCACGGGGGCTGCGGTTGCTGGGGGCTGAGACCTGGTGCTATCATTGCACCGGCTCTTTCCCAGCTTGGTTCAACCCTTGCCTTTCATCTCCTTCCAGGTAATGGCCCAGAACTGAGCAGCAGCAGGAGAAGTGTCCCGTCCCCAGCTTGGGTGATGGACGTCATCTTCCCCCTTGGCTTTGGTCGGGGGGCTTTAAAACCCACAGTTGGTGTCAATAAAATCTGTTCCTCTCTCTGTGCTTGTGGATGCTTTGCCCTGCAGTCCCACAATCTTTCCTCCCCCAACTCTCTGCGTCCTTTTCCCTTCCCATCTTCCAGGGTGTCCCTCTGGCCATGTCCCTCCTCTTCCCTGTGCTTTGGGAAGAGAGGCAGTGAAAAGACGGGATCCAGCATTTGAGGGCAGCCAGAAAGTCCTTGGGATAATGGAAAAGGGGGAAATGCTGCAAATCCCCTTCACAGGCTGCAAGGCAGCTTCTCGAGGATGGGGGGATACACAGGGACGCACGGGATCCAGTTGGACTTTCCCCTGCTGCTAAGCTCCATTTCCATTCCAAGAGCAACCTCCTTTGCAACAAGAGACGTTGGGTTTGGTGCCTGTTACCACCTCCCTGCGGCTGCATCCTGGGGAGCCGACTGTGCCACACCCAGTACTGGGATAAAATAACCAGCACCAAAATTGCACAAAAAGCCAAATTCACCCCCAACCCAGACACACAATAATGAAGGGGCAGGTGCTGGTTCCCCATCCCCCCTTGGGCCCACCCACGGCACTGGGGGCACAGGGGAGCCTTTCCGGGGGTGCCGGCTGCTCGGCG